AGGTTCGTCGTCACCAAGTTTAGGAAAATGTATATAAAGATAAATCTCTTACCTTTCAAACGATATTGAGAAATAATTCAAAAAGATCAAATATTTTTCATTTTGAAATCATTTAGAATATATTTCTGATAAATTCTTAGAAAGAAACATACGGATATAATATAATGTCGGACTATCAATGTTAGTATAAATAGTGACCACACATTTAGCCCATTAGGGGACTCTTTGTTGAAGCAATCTGGAACAAAAGAAACATTGGTGCAACCAAAAAAAAAAACAGAAGGAACTCCCCTTTTTATAGAAAATCATATTGCAACAAAACAATGCATGCCCTACAAGCTCTTCGATATTTCCTTGAATATGCGAGGGAGAATCTCATGTGCGCCGATATCCAGAGCTTGCGGATCCCTGACATTCCAAGAAAATATTAACAGCTTGTGCGAAGTCATGGTACATAATCAGATACATAAAGCTTATTGCAAAACCAATAATAGGATAGGTGTTAAGAGAAAAGAACCTGCATAAAGATTGCCCCTTTTCCTTCGAGCTAGGAATGAACCAAACATTTCGAATAGAAGGAGATTCAAACTGAACAAAGATTCCATCGTTTTGTCCGAGTTTCCACTTCCTTGAGCCTTGACCTTTCCACACCTGCGAGACACGATTTAACCATCAGCCCATAATATAAAACCAGAAAAATAGGACTGTTAACAAGCAAAAATAGACAGATTTGGTTCACCTGTGGGTAAGATATACTACTCTTTGACGTTACCAAGCAAGCAGCTTTGGAAAACGACTCTTCTGCGTATTGCCTCAGATATGAAAAGCAGTTACTGTGTGTGTGCGGTGACTCAAAAGCCTGTGTAGGAACACATAATTTAAGCAGACAAAATAAAAGATGGTTTCTTTCTTGTAAGATCTTAAGTTGGCTCATGTCCTTCTTAATACCTTATTGATGTTGACTGCTGGTGCATACTTATCGGTTTGTGTTTTCTCTTTGTCGAGAAGGAAATAGACTCGTGTATCGACTTTAGATGCCTCGTGCCACGACTTCACAGCTGTTTCCATAGTCTCAACAAGAAAAGAAAACATCTCTTTCCAACACTCTTCAGTTCCATAGTTTGCAGACTGCAAGTGTTTGTTCATATGGGGACAAAGTAATTTCAGAATCTGAGTTAAAGGCTTATATTGGTTCTTTGGATTTCACTTGGAGTAAACAGAAACTAACCAATTCAGATTTAAAGCTTTCAAGATGCTTGGCCATGTTGACATTAGTTCTCAAATTCTCGAGTTCTTGAGCTCTCTGTTTCTCCTGCTGCAACTGAACGAGCCTCTTGATCTTTCTAGAAACTTCTGCGCTCTGTGGATTGTACTGTAGAGCCGTTTCAAATGCAGCCAAGGCCTGTCACAATCATCAAAGAGAATTTTAACTACCAAGATTACAGCTTTGTAATCAAAATTTAAAAGGAAGATAAAAAGACCAAAACTTAAGAAGAATTTACATCTTCGTATTTTTCCATGGCTTCGAGCACAGAACCTTTCCTGAAGTACCCCTGAAGAAAAAAGACCAGAAAAGCCATTGTTTACTTAAAAGACACTGGTGGTTATAAGCTATTACGGTTGAATCAGAAACCAACAAAAAAAAAACATTCTCTTGTTTTGACTAACCTTCTCCCATTGAGGATTCAGTTTGATGGTTGTCTCTGCATCAGCTAAAGCTTTGCTAAGCTTAACTAGACTCAAAAATGCAGCAGCTCGGTTACTGCAACGTATAGAGAAAAACTTTATTACACTAAAAAATCAGCTCACATCGACTCACACATTGATCCAATTTAGTATTCTGATCTGAGCAACACTAACATAACCTAACAAAACCCTCAATTTCTAGTATTCTAAATCACAATTGATCTTTTGAAATGTAACCAAAATGTTGTAAGCTATTAAGGATCAAAGAATTTAAGGTAAAAAAGCCACACTTTTCCACCTAAACAATCTCATTTTCAGGTCTTAACATTTCACAAGGGAACAAAAAAAAACAAGATCTTCTAAGAACTAAGCTCAAATCAAAGGAAACCCATCAAAACCCAACAATTACATCTTCTAATAAACTCAGTTAATTGAAACCCAATATGAATCGCAAAAGTGCGAAAATTGTACAACACCGAGTAAAAGCAATCTGGGGGTACCTGTAAAGAGTAGCGTTAGAAGGATCGAGCTTGATGGCTTGAGTATAGAGAGCTGCAGCTTTAAGATAGTTCCCAGCTTTGAAGAACTCGTTGCCTTTATCCTTTAGAGATTTCTCCGATTCCCCACCATTAGTTCCCGTAGACCCTGCCTTACCTGATTCCAACACTCTCTCCGCCATCATTCTGAGAAAGCCAAAGATACGAATCGATGAGAAATTTGGTGATTTTGTGCTTCTCTATTAGGGTTTATAGAGAAAGAGAAATGAAGACGAACTGTATAAA